CGCTACTCGACCATGCTCGCCTTCCGCAATGCGCTGCAGCAGCTCTATGCGTCGTATGCGCGCGGCGACGACCCGCTTCTACAGCAGCTCGCCAGTCTTCTCGAGACGCCCTTTCCGCCCAAGCGCCTCGACCCGGAGGCTGGCTGGGTCATTGACGAGCGCTGCGTCGCGTTCCGCATCTTTTGCGACAAGGTCCTCGACACCAAGGCGCATCTCTTCCAGCTCGCGTCCGCGCTGCCGCCGGTCTGGGCCATGTACATTGCGCTCGTGCAGACGTTCCTGGAAGTACCGGCAGCGATGCTTTCGATGGCCTTTCAGTCGCGCCGTAATGTACCCAGCGAGACCGAGTGCAGCATCTGCCTCGTGCCATTTTCCCGCGATGACTTTGAAGTGCCTGGCGTCGTCGTCGAGACGCAATGCACGCATGTGTTTCATCAAGGCTGCATCGCCGAGTGGATCGAGACGGCCGCGACGTGCCCCATCTGCCGCCACCACATCGAGTCGATCGTTGGTCTCTTCTTGCCGTCCTCTGCCACGTCCGTGTCTGTCTAGCACCCGCGCATGCAACATGTACTATAATATTTGTCTTGCTAATTTTTTTATGTGTCTCTGTGAATTGACTCCAACTTTGGGCGTGCTCCAGGCAACGCTGCCCTTGGCACGACAGCAGCACTCAGCTGCGAAGAGGAGAGGACTTGAGGGCACAAGGGAATGAATTATTATCGTTTTGATTCCCTTGGAGCACACGCATCAGACTATGCTGCCAATGCTACCCTACCCCCGTCCACAACGCCGATGAGGCCACACAAAAGTTACCATTGTACTAAGTCTGAGCTGTGATGCAGCGACGCGGATGGCACCATACAGTGCCTCGACCATCGTGTCGGGCCCATGGTGTGGGCTGTGCTTCCTGCATCACTGCTCGCGGTCATCACAGCTCGCGGGCAAAAGGGTGGTGTGCGAGTCTCGCCTGTGCCCTTTAGGCGACTTACGTCAGTTGACTAGCGGTTTTAAAGCCTTAACCAGTAGCTCGCGATCGCAGCTAGCGTCACAGCCACCGCACAAACCGAGTCCTCGGACCACCTTAGACGAGGGAGAAGGCTGGTGCGTGCACTCCTGTGCCACGGCAAAAAGGGCCGTGACACAACCATCTCCATGCAAATGTGAAAATAATGCGCGATCGACACGATCACAACGGCGAGGTCCACCAAGATCAGAACGGAAAGAGTGGATGTAGGCTCCCAACTGCAACAATCGGGCGGGTGTGTATCTGGCACGCATCTGATCGCAGTCTGGAACGTGGCCAAATCCGGTCGAGCTCACTTGGGTTTTACTGCACCACCTTGTGTAAAGAAAGCTCTTGCGTACTGTTTGCATCGTTGTTTGCTCAACAGCGCGCTGTGTTCCGAGCCTCAAAAAAGCCTCGGCAGGGAGACGTACACGGTGTACAAGTACTATGTATTCCTTGTCATGGAGCTTGCCGCGTTGAGGCAGTTGGGGCGTTGAGCTACAGTACTACCGTACCGTGCGCAGATCAGATGCGGCGATTCGATCGCCCAGCTGCCCGCGGTGCAATGTCGTGCATAGCTGCGTGTTGCTCGGACGCCCAGGATCTCCTCCCGCAACAAGTATAGTACGCAATTTCTAGTCAGCGTACGTGAGTCAGAGGCATCTAGCAACGGCTTCACGACGCCGATGATCATGTTTGCCAGCCATCCATCGTCGTTCCTCCCGTGGAAGCTTCCCGCGTCGTCGTCTTTCTATCCGTCGTCGGCAGCCCGCGCGCTTCTTTTTGTCTGCGCTTGTATGTGTACCTACGCGAGCCGCGATCGAAAGTCAAACTCTCCCAATGCGCTTGCTTCCTTTTCGCAGCCAAGTCGACAAGATCCGACTTGCCAACGTGTCGCCATGCCCCTTGCTGGCGCGCAGTATGGCCTCGAATCTCCAAGTTTGGCATCGAGAAGGCGGCGTTCGTAGAAGCAGGCTCGTACAAAGTGCAAGTGTAGGTGGACGTCACCGTACCGCAAGTAGCCACCGATCGCCGAGCCCGTGCCGTCCCAAAGAACCGCGTGGTGCGGCGCGCGCCAAACCCGAGATTCAACTGGCCCGTCGCTGGTGGCAGCAGTGGCCTTTTAAGCCGCAGCGCGTCCGGCCCACCCAACGAGCGTCGCCAATCGCCCATCCACCTCCACTGGCGTGTGCTGGAGGCAATTGCGCGCTCGTTCGCAGCGCTCAGAAGCTGGTTCGAGCGCCAGATGCAACGCCCGACGACGATCGAATCTCGAACTTATTGCGGTACAAGCCCTCACATTGCACTTGATTTCCCGCATGTGGCATGTGCTCTTTCACATCTCACACGTGCAAAACGCGTTTTTCACACGATTGAATCTCCACCTACCAACGTCCTTACACCACCTACGAGCTCAAAGGACAGCGTATTCGCTTTGCTGTATCCGCGTGCTCGCGTAGAAGGTCCTCGCACAACGCCTCGAGGCTGGACACGTGCGTTGATTGAATATCACACGCGTGTATTCTACGTGCAAAATGCATGGAGACCACACATGCGTGTAAAACTAAAAACCACCGTGCGAAACGGTGCGAAAGCCAAGCAGAGGTGGCACTGTTGGCAGTCATCCTCCTGCGACACGGAAGGGTCGTTCGCACATTCAACGCCGGTACAATGTAGTCGCCGCCGGCTTCGTGGCGCCATGCGTTGCGTGCTGTGGGCCCCACGACCCCTCCGCACGCCACGCCGGTATCGACACCGCTGGCCGTACCGCCTGTCTGCGCCCTTGGCGATCGCAATCGCAATCTTCTGCAAAAGACGCTGTCTCACGCTCGGGCGAACCCACGTTTTTCGCTCGAATCTGGAAACCTCTCGAGTCCGGGTACAAAGCCGGACCAGTGGCGTCACTGCAATGCCACAGCCAGCTGGCCTCACTTTTCAACTCGCTTCCGAAAACCCAACACCAATCAAAACCTATCATGGCGCTCCGAAGCAGCTTGAGCAAGGTCGACGTGCGCGCGCTCTCGCCCATGGCTTCGTTCGACGAGGACCCCAGAGC